TATGCAATTTTCCCGTAGGACCAATGGTTTAGGAGTTATTCAGGAAAAACGAAATTTTTTTCCAAAAGTTCGCCGTTTCGAGACTGGGATGGTCGGATTTTGTCAACATCAATAAAATGCCAAATAATCATATGTAACTTGTTAAATACTCGAGTTAGAAGAAAAATTCATAGAATCTTTCTTGTTGAGGACGTCAGGGCTTATAATTTCTGTACAAAAAGCTTTTCGCCAGCGTCAGTAATTAATTGGATATTTCCTTCTATACTTTTTAGCACGTAGCTATTTATTATTAGCATTGTTCTTCCGACGTCTGATTTCTTTTTAATTATAGGAAATGCGTTTTTCTAAGGTACATAAACTTTTGGATTTGACTGTATAGCCAATGCATCCTTAAGTGCTTCTTTTTCTACAATATTGCCTGCGATTCCGTAATATGTCTCCGCGAATTTATCAAATCAAACCTTCGTCCAGTAAGCCTTCCCTTTTTTTCGATTGCAGGTTTTGCGTGGGCGATCGGTTTTATCTGTGCGAGAACAAAATCCTGTGCGAATACGACTACGAGGAAAGGATCTTGTTCGCCAGTATGCAAGTACCAACACCCGCCTCGCTGGCGTACATCAAAAGGCAACTGCCGCCGACGCCGGCACCGCCTGGCCAGAACATGCATCCGGGTCATAATCCGTTGCAACCTCATCAGGGACTCGGCCAGTCGGTGGGTCAACATAATCACGTGTCGAACGTAAGTTAAAGAGAGAATCCGTTATACCTGACGATCGTTTCACGCACGCGATACTTTGGATCACAGACAGACTCGATAGTATGTTCATTGGAAAACAATTTGCATTTAGAAAAATTGATAAGACATAATTGTTCCTGAAAATAATTTATTTATAAACTTTCTTATGGGGATAATTCGTTGGTTAAAAAATTGTACGAGTGCTCTAACTCGGCGTGGTGGCATGTAAGATTGAATTTCATTCAGAACTTTGATCTTGTGGGCGTAGGGTCAAATGTCGGGGAGCACACCGATGGTGAACGGGACGAGCATAGGGGTAGGCGGTGGTACTAGAGCTCCAGGTGACATGAACAACAACGGGCTGTCGGGTCCGGCTATAGGACCGATGAAACCGCCACCCATGTCTATGCAGGCGCCGACCAGCTGAGACGAGGTGTCGCCCCCATTGAAGAAGCTCAGATGTCTCAGCGGTTATTGAGGCTATTCAGGCTCGCCGATGAGACGAATCGGGGAGGGAGAGGAGCGAGCATGGGACGAGGCGCGAAAACGTCGTAACGAAGTGAACCCGAGGAACGGACGAGTAACGGACAGACAGATACGTAACGGGTGTTCGGTAAAGATTACGAGAAAATAAAACAGGATGGAGACGAAGAGTAAATTGTCTCCGTGAAAGATCTCGAGGACACTTCCGGGCGATCGATCGTTTTCCGGGGAACTTTTGCCGAGAGATCGGGAATAATCACTGTGATCGCGAATTATAATATGAATAAATTTATCGAGAAGATAGTGGACCGCACGGGACGCGAACGTATACGCTGAAGCGCGTGTACGTAAGAAACACGTTTGACGCACGTCTTGTAATATACGGTACGATATGTAACACGATAAAGAATAGGGGATTTTATGTAAGATACGTTTCTGTGGAAGAGGAACGATTTAGAGAAGGGAGCGAGTGTGGGTGAAAGGAATGAACGCATGTGGCAGAGTTCTCTTGTAAATATCTGTGTACCGTCGACTCTGCAACGCACCGAAAGACTATCAGTATACGCAGACCAATCGATGAATTTTCATGATGGTTACTCGCGATTCGTCGACATTCGACGCATTAGCAACTGATCGTGAAGGCGAATATTGGACATCGTGGAGGAGAGAGAGAGAGAGAGAGAGAGAGAGTGAGAGAGAGAGAGCCGTCACGGTGAAAATTTATTAAGTAAGTTACTGTTTGTTTGTTTTTATTTTCAATTTTATCGACAGCCGCTCGATCGGAAAGATAACCAAAGGTTGGAAGTCGCGGCGTTTAATTGTCGGAGTCTCGTAAACGGCGCGAATGCGACGAATCGAAACGTTTCCAAAATCTCGGTATACGAGGCGTAATTCAAAGCGTACACACGATGGCTGATACCAAAGATTAACGATGTAAGTTTCGATGTCCCACGGGTGCAAATCGAACATCTCGGATTTCGAATTATTCCTTGATCACATTCGATGATGACAGTAAGTATATTTTGTTCGAAACCGCGTGCATCTATCGATTGAACGTTTGCGAACCGCGGGACCGAATCGTGGGCTTTACGCTTTAACGCCAAAAGATGAACGCGAAAACAGACGAAGTGAAGAGGAAGAAGAGAACGATATAAAGTGAAAGGTTGACGGTGATACCAAAAGATGGTTAAACAAAATCTGATAAACCGTTGCGTGCGCTGATAAACGATCCGTTTTTCTGAATTTTGCTGAATTCATACACGAGGCGCGAGTGTGAAAAGTTCGTCTGATCGTAAACGAACGAAAATTTCTTTCCCCTTTCTCTCTTTGATACCGACAGAAAAAAACATCCACGTTACCTTTCGATCAGATTATTATTCATCCACGAATCGCGGGTCGACACGGAATTCGTGATTCTATAACACAGAATTCGAAGCTTAACGAATCCGATTAAGTACAAAAAATAAATTACGCGAAGAGTACGCAGTGCTAGAAACTGTATACAGGAGAGAGGAAGAGAAAGGATACGAGTGACACATGCATGTATACACACATAAAAAGACACACGAATACAACCGACACATACATACACACAGATACACACTTTCCTCCTCGGTTTTTTATCCATCTGTATATAATATCATTTATTAGCGCACTATTAATATATTTACCGCCTCTATAGGGGCTCCCATTACTACCGAGAAAATATAACATTCTTATAAATACAACCACGGAAAGTTTTAGCGTGTCTTCATTCTATCTTCATCTGAGACTGAGACGTCGTACGTACTTCATTCCTCTATTTCTTCTTGCTTTGCTTTTTCGGCGGCCTTGTTCGTTTTGTTGTTTAATAACGAAATGATGGCACGCCTTGATATGAGATCCACTGATTTGTGGAGGTGGTATTTTTGAGAACCGGGTAGAACCGAGTCCGGGACACCGACCAACCGGCCAAGGTAGGGAGGGAATTGGAAAGGGGGCTGAGGGTGAAACAGTCGGGGGAGAGGCAACGCGATTTCCCTAATGCCTTCCAGCCCACGGAGTTGAATGTTATTATGCACGGTGAAGACTTTATAATAGGACGTTGAAACTCTTTAAAACTCGCGGAGAGCGGATCCTCTAACCCCCTTCGCGATGCGTTGCCCTCGAAAAGAAGGGCTCGTCGCTCCTCACTCGACACTCGAATGATTTCCCTCGTTGCACCCTAAAAAATGAGACGACCGCTCCAATTGTTTCTGACCTTTTTAAATTCTGTGCAATATTTTTGTAGTCGTCTCTGATTTTTAATTTCGGCGGTCTGATCAAAATTGTCAGTGAAAGATTCTATTGTCAAATTGGATACGGTAAAAGAAGAACATGTAAAATTTTCCATACGAATTCATGTCTTGCCTCAAGAGATATAGAATTATTTAGTCGAGTTTATTAGCTAATCGATCAGCAGGCAAACGTAGCCAGATGACGCGATTCTCGATCGTCCGCCAGGCCTCGCCGCAAGTTGCATTAATCACGCCAAAGTCGCGAGCGCGGGGGTGGTTGGAACGAACTAGTAGTGAGGGTGGAATCGGGTAGGGGAAAGAAAAGCAGAACCCCTTAAAATAATCTGGCCCGAAATGAAATCAGCCAAGGCAATTTCCAGCCCCCGTAGCCAACGGTGATGTTAACAACGCCGCCGGTTTTATCCATCTACCCCCGGTGGCGTCCCTGATTCGAGGCGCGGTGCAACCGACAAATGACGACGCGGCAACCCCCCTCGCAGCGGCCCACGGAATTAAAGATCCCGAGATAAGGGTGTCATCCTTCGCTATGCATTATGTGTTCGGCAAAAAGCTCGCCCCCCGGCTATCCTGACGCTCCGCGTCTCGTTCTCCGACCCCCTTCTTCCTGCTCACTCTGTCCATCTTCTCTCTCCCTCGGCCCCTTCGCTCCATCTGTCCTCTCCACGTTGTTGAACCTCTTCGTTGTCTCTATTTCGTCGCAAAGAAAGCTACAATTAATCTTTCTCGTACGTTTCCCCATCCCTTCATCGCGGTTGATGCCACCGGCGTGGAGGCATCACACAGGCCTCGTAACGCGTGTCGAATATTTTTATTTCGACACGAATTAAATTGCGGTAAAGTGAATGTGTCGATGTCCGAAATACTGGTAAGTTATTAATTAATACTATACTGCAGTTGCTAAACATGATTTAGAAGTAGCGTTTGCATGTGTACTCTTAAGAACGTCGAAGTATCACGTATAAGGGGATGGCTTGAGAACCGACCTGGATAGGAGGACAGCACCCCTTTGAAGCGACTGCGTAAAGTTACTCGCGGGGGCAAAAGAGATGCACGGGAGCGCGCCGCGTTATGATCCGGACATCCTTTTTGGTCGTAGCGAATAAAACGTTCGACCGGCGTGAGCACTGCTCGTATTTCAAGTTTTATCGCTTGAAAACGCGGAGGGTGGGCACGGTGGCCGTTGTGCTCGACAAACCGTGCACCCAAAACCGACGTACGTATACGCGATTCAAAGGGAAACGAGAGATGACTCGCGTCTTTCCTTTCTGACGAACAAGTTAGAGTACTCGAGGCTATCAATCATTAAAGATTAAGGGAACAATTTTTAAATACTTTAATTACAGAGTTCTACGTGGCTTAAAGTACGCCCATGCCCCAAATACATTTCAGCGCTTTTAAAGTAGACTTGTGTCATTAGACAGCTCCATCATCCACTCTTTTATTGAGCAAACATACGAATTGGTAAATCTAGAAGCGTGCGTTACTTTTATTGATTTGCAAACCTTTATAGGAAAAAAATCGCATAAGTAACATGGGAAGAATGCGATACATATTCGAAAGATGGGGATATCGAGGTAATATCGGATCGAACAGGAGTGTGCGATGAGTATGACTTCCGTTGGTCGAAATCGCAGCCGCTTTATCCCGGTGTATTGTCGGCGCGCATCCTAAAGCAATCACACGGGCGGCTGGCCAACCCACCATTACACGATATACTGCTTTAACTTCGGACGGAGGAGCGGCGGCGTCGCGCCGCATCGCGAAAACGTTACGTATAGGGTGTACCGAAGGAAATAACCGTCATCTGTATTCGCGATAACATCGTAATTGAATGCGGTTGACGGGGATTTGCTGTACGGCGAGCGGCCACGAGGCCCATAACCGTTCCCTTTTACCTCGGCTGCCTTCACCCTCCGTCATCCCCATCTTTTTTTCTCCCCGCGATCGCCTCGTTTTTCTCTTCGTCCAAGCTTTCTTTCATGCTCTCCTCCCCACTTTCCCTTCCGCTCCGTCTTTCTCGTTCTTCGTTCTGTCTTTAGCATTTCTCTCTTTTTCGCGAGTTCTATCTCGCGAAGGTATTAATCATATCGAGGTGTGGAAAAATCTACTTCGGCCGACGTTTCGAGCGTGTCGTCATAACGTCACGTACGCACACAGGCTCGTCCACCCACGCGACGGCTTTCAGCGCGGGGACCAGGGAGACTGAATGGCGATACGGAGATAGCAAACGTAGCAAAGGAAGTTTACGAGGGGTGTTTTCGTGAAAAGCGATTCTACATGCTCCTCGTGTACGCGAAAGTGGACCAGCCGGTTGGTTGGCGCGACAAAAGAAGTCGCTGAACTCTCGCGTCGCGCACCACGCGCTCGTCCCCCGGCAAACGGGAAAAGTGCGTCGCGACGAAAGTGCGGGAAGCATCTCGATTTCAATTAGTCCCAACCCTCTCGCTCCTTGCTCACCCCTCCGGTGTATCTGCCCATTTAATATCGCGGCGGACCATTCCCATGGATACGCAAGCGCGCGCGTCGCATCGTTGCGAGCTATCACGAAGGAGAGCAGCCTCGTCAGGGTGTATCGGAGTGTAAAAAATCAATTAACAGAAAATAAAAACGCAGTTGCTCGAGATAGAAGGATTTGTTCGGGTGCAACGGTATCGCGCTATCGATACCGTGCACTGTACAGGGGCCGCTAAACGACGCGGCGCAAGGAGGACGAATCGCGGGCTATCGAAGTAATAAACGGAATGTTTGCGGCCGGTTTCGCGAGGCCGATGATGGCTTTCGGAATAGATCCGGTCAGCGCGTCCGGCGATCGCCCTGATGGGAAATACTTGTTTTCTGGCCACTGTCACGAAACCTGATTGGCGCATGACCGCCGGATTTCGCGCTCTATTAATGGCCGTGCTTCTCGATCACCCATTTCCATCTTTCTCTCGTCACAGATTGACCATTCCTACGAGCGTCTCCTTCTCGCCATTCACCGCGGTTAATTCCTATCCTCCCCCCCCCTCACGCGCGAACAAATTGTTTGAGTACAATCACGGTTATCGTGTTGCTCGACATTCCTTCTTTGGGACGATCAATCTTCCCTGTATTTCGTATTTTAGCTATCGCTTCAAAATAACTGCTAGTAGTTATTAATGAATACTAAAACCGAATACATCAATTATGATACAAGACAAGCTAGAGGCATAGTCGCAAATATTAATCAGCCTTATTACGTTTCTATCCAATCACGATTCGCGACTGATATCTTCTTGCTAAATATACGCGCCATATATTATTCGTCGGTTAAGCGACAGGAAAGCAAATAATTTGGCGGTACACTCCATGGAACAGAAGAGAGGAAGAGAGAGAGAGAGAGAGAGAGAGAGAGAGAGAGAGAGAGAGAGAGAGAGAGAGAGAGAGAGTGATCGATAAATTGTATTACACAAATAACGATCGCCCGCGGCGTCGATGTTATCCCGCAATACGTTAGAATGAACTATCTTGCGGCGAATCACGGATGATACCGGTGATCTGTGGCGCCTTGCCCCGGCCAAGTTGCTCCGTTGCGTTGCCAGGAATTATAGGTTCCGACACTTTTCCACGGAAAGAAACGCGCTTGGAAATGGATCGAAACGATACGTTTCTTCGACGCTCCAGATACCGTCGTTGTAGTTTGGCCTTTTTACCGGGAACACTTCAATGCTAAACAAACTTCTCGCCAAAATGACAATTAAATGATAGATTTAATGCAAATCGAAAGGTTCATAGATGTACAATTAGTAGTGTTTATGTAGTTTGTACAAGAATGGGTATTGGAGCTGTTAGAAATTGTAGGGACGGTGTCTATCAGTGCGAAACTCGTCGAAGACAATAATCGGGCGTAAGCAGGGCATTAAGGGCGAGTTAGTCGTCCGTAAGCCCCGAAGTACGAATTAGCGAGCGGCCATCGTTGTCGGGCGAGTTTCGTACGATGTGGTGGCAGTTCCGTGGGTCCTTAATCGGCGAAGATACGAACGCAGAGGCGTGAGAATGACCCGTGGTACTGAACTAAGAATATTACCGCCGAGAGAACACTCCAAATGTACATACTAATTGCGCAGCCGATACTAACTGCCGCGATATTTCAGTTTCATGCGACAACGGTCACGTTCCGCGCTAATAAAGGGTTGGATTTGGATACGGAGACTGAGTTATGTCGTCCGCAGTCAAAATTCTGAAAAGGATAGCCCCGAGAATGAATATTCATTCGAATGATAGTTAACGAGCGTGAATGAGCGTTTTTTTTATCGGAGGATACGATAAGTTGACCGCTCACTGATTAGCATTAAGAACCGAAGGTAAACGGTGAAGCGCGTCGATATTTCAAGTTTAATAGCAGTCACGTTTACGCAAGTAATGGAACAGCACCGGTGTGGACACAACGATTAAAGTATGTCCCAGGGAAAAGTGGTACATGCTAATTAGTCGACGATACGTAGCTGGAGCGCGGTCGATGCTAACTACCTCGATATTCCAAATTTAGGGGACAGGAGTTTCGTTTGCGCAATCAATAGAGCGCGCGGCGTAAAACGAGCTCGCGATCCAGCACGGCGCGATGCGGTGGCGCGATTGAAGAGTGCGCCCTGTCGAAAATTGGGAATATTCAACGAGAAAAGTGGCGACGATATTTCCATTATCGTTCGTTCGTGACACTTCAACGCTTCGCTTCCTGTCGTTTCGCACGTATTGCTTGGAAATATCCTGACCAAGTGAATCTATTAAGCGCGCGCGTTCGTCGAATGGCACCGGAGAAATTAGCAGTTTTCCCTTATCCCCGCGTACAGGTTGTTGAATGAGAAACCGGTTGACAGTTCGTCACTTTTCGAGAAAAAAGAAAACAGTCCGTAAGAAACAATTTACGCGTGGCACCGCGTGAATCGAATACATTTCCGAAGCCGTGCATACTCACTTGTGCTCGCTAAAGAAGAATATACACATGCACTTCGAGCCGTCTCGTTTAAGCGGAGCTGTTTAACGGGTTCTGATACTGAAACGCGCTGTCGAGAATAGAAAATCTGTAATTACCACGTCCTCGTGCAGATGCAATTCGCGCTAATTAACTTGGAAGGCATTTTTTTCACCTGTCGCCGTCTCTCGCCGTTTCGTAGCGGCGGTCGCGATGGCGTACGGATCACGTTCACCGTGCGAGGCTTTCCTTTTTCGACGGGACTCGCGCATTACTCCTATAATTGGGTATACGCGTTGCCTAATCGAACGCCTGACCTAACCACCACCCGTTCCTCGCGCGTGGAACGAGCGGTTCGCCTCGTTAATAAGACGATTCTCTCGTCGAAAATCGTTCCTACGACCCAAATAATAGAACTTTCCCTCGCGCCGTTCTCCGGTCTTTCTTCCGTTCCTTCCATTCGTTCTCGTTTCCCTCCTCGACGCGTTCTACTCCGTTTCTACCCTCACCGTTCGTGCCGTAAGCCCGACGGGGATCGTTCACGATTTTACGAGGGACTAGAGTCGAGTATCGGTGGGCAATTATCCGCGAAACAAACAGGTCCGCGAGGGAAAGTCTAACGACTGCCGGGGTCTTCCCGGCGATTACCTCAAAGCAAACCGCCTAACAAGACATTGTTCCGAATAGCTTAGCCATTCTACCCCGGCGCGGTCCTTTTCCACCCTCACACCCACTCCACCGGAACCTCTTCCCACGT